ACAAAAACAATGTTTATTGTTGAAAAAAAAACCTGGACTCTGATGCTTGTGGGACCCCTGATGGTGACATCACCCCCCCCAAGTCTGTGCTCCACCGGTCACTCCGGTCGTCGAGACGCTTCAACGACCCTCCGAACCATAGTATAGTTTAACTTAGAACATACAACTGACTTGTACACTGGTACATTTATACGCACTTTCTTCCCAAAAGTAACCGCCACCTATAGGCTACACATTGCATGAAAATCTAGGCTACACCTGTACAGGTTCATGCTCGCTCAATGGCAACAACAGAATCCTTCCCAAAAATCCTCCCTGCCAAAATGAGGGTCCAAAACGCAATTGATCGTATCAAATGATTCATGTAACTCATGTATATTCATGATTCATTGTATAGAATACCAATCACGGAGGATTCCCAAAAGTACAGGAACCATCCCATTGCTTCACCCTTCGGCACTTGGGTCTGAACTCGAACAGGGCCTCCACAAAGCTTCCGACCTGGTTTTCCGGGTCTGTCTGCTCCCGCAGGATCGATCTGGAACGGTGGAAGGGTGGATCGATGGGCCGATGGGTCATGTGCCACGACTCTCATTCAGTCACTGTAAGGGATCACTGTATATACCAGGACCTTCCAACAGGTGGTATTTGGCCAGCTCCTAAACCTCTAAGAGGCTATTTATAGACACCTCTTGGAAGGTCCTGGTATGTGTCAACTATTAGGTCTCGTTCTTCCACCGAACTGGCGTAAAGGCGAACCATGAGCCCTGGACCCGATGTCTCGGAAGGACCCGGTCATGTCTCGCTGCACCGCGGTTAGACGGTCAGCGGTGCGCCGGAAGGTGTTTGGACCCTCGTATGCCGATAGGGATACACCCTCCAGGCTTTTAGGGTATATATGAGATCCACATACATCCACATACCCTTTGAGTCAGATGTTTGGACCCTCCTCGTCCCGACATGTTCAATGGTCGAACACCATGGTCCCCGTGGGATCCCTGGAGCCGCGTGGAGCGCTCGGTGCTCCGCAGGCCTTGTGCTCGGCGCTCTTCTCGGTGAAGTCCTTCAACCAATCCTGGCGCCGCGGCGCGGCGCTGCACAGCTCGCTCGGGAGTTCCGATGGAATCCGAAGCAATGTGCTCGGGTGCCGTATAGAGCTCCAGGCTCTTGAAAACGACCACTATAGCCAGCTTCTTTTGGGGCATCCACTGCCAGCTTCTCAGGATTCTTCTCAGATTCGCTACGACTGGACCCTACATAGAATCAGAAGCCTACATCATGAGTCTCCAATCATGTTCTCGGAGGGTGGCAGTGGATCCATCTAGGAAATCATTTGATACCACCGTCACCTCGCTCGCTTCGGTCATTCTTTGGTCGCCTGTAGAAGGTGATGAGAAGGGAACCCTTATAGCTTAGAGAGGTCACTTTGAAAGCTGTTTTTGTTTTCTCTTTGGGTTCTCTGAAGTTGATGTGTTTCCGGTTTGTCCCACTATAGTGCTTTGAAGCTTTCCATCCTTCCTTCCAAACTCCCTTCAATTCAAAACCTAGCAGGGGCTTTTGAGCGTAACTTTGCTTCCATCAAAACCATCTCCTACCAACTGCTTTCTTTCTGCGGTTTCACCCGAAAGCACCACGGTCGCAACACGCCCCTGATCGAGCGCGTGGCGTGTTGCGGACGTCGTCTTCCTGCGGTCGCCTTCAGGACGGCGGGGTCGTCAAAGCCCAGGATGCATTCCGCGATCTCCAAGCAATCGGATTCCCGCGTCTGGCGCTCGGGTCCCTCACCGAAGGTCCCGCATCGACCGAAAGACATGTGGGTGGGGTGGGTGATGTCGGATCATGGTCGGGTCTTCTGCACGAAGAAGGGGGTGCTTCATTTTTCTTAGAGCAATGAAGCCTCCCATCAGGTTCTTTCAATCGACAAATCCTGGAAGAACAAAATCCAGTCCACAGGCAGCATGGACCAGCAATCATCATCAAGAAACCATTTCATCTGGAAAAAATACTGACTTCAGGGCACAATTCTTCTTGCTGCGTTGTCACCTTCTGCCTTTGGCTTGTACTGACTTCAAGGCCCACTTGGGCTTCACTAGCACTGGATTCCTGGTATACATGAAATTTGTCAACACTTGTTTGATCTGTCAGTCTGATGGACCATAATGTTGAACATGTTGCCCACAAAATCCCAGGAGGCTTCAATCTACGTATGTCAAGTCGAGTGAATGTCACTCATGTCACGGTGAAGCAACTCAGAGTTAACCCTTATAGGCAAAAATAACATGCAAAATGCAAAAAACACACATTGGCAACATACATACCTGCACATTCGAAGGGGTCTCCAATGGAATACCCTACTACTTGTGGATCTCCATTGCACATCGCTTCGAGGTTTCGTAAACATGAAGTGTTGTTACCGAGCCGTTATGAACTTTGAACCCCCTCCCTTCCCTCCCCAAACAAAAATAAAACCTGCCGTGCTGAGCCTTCCCCCAAAAAAAACAGCAACACAAAGAACGATTTTTTTCCGTGACCTTTCTGGAGTCCCCAAGTGACCTTTCACAGGCCTAGGTGACCTCACACCATCAAGTTCGGTTCACGAACCAGGAACAAACGTCCCACGAGGTCACTGGCGTGCAGCGCCTGCCTGCGTGAGTTCCCCGATTCGCGCGGCCGTCCAGGACTTCAACTCGATCTGGACGGAGGGTGGAGTGTCTCGGATGCTCGGTCCGTCTTGATCCCGCTAAGTTCCGCAGAGGTCGCGTCACGACTGTTGCTTTGGTATTTGAGAGGGGATTGATTCGGGGTCCAAGATCATGTGGGACCAATGATGATGATGTTCCGTGCCCGCATCATACGTTTACAAGAACACATGACGATAATTGATGATATATGATGTTGCCTGTGCAACTGTGGATCATCACTGTCATTGACGGCTTCACCAGCAGGTTGGGCCACCCTGCTGACAGCAGTGTTTGTGAAAAAACTACTTTACTTCGAGTGATCCCCACCTTGACATGTCGATCTGACAAATTGTCTGGCATGTAGTGAAACACAGAAACATTTCTTCTGACATTATTTCTGGCATATCTTCTGCATGTATATCTTCTGACATTCTTTCTGGTGTTCTATCTGGCATATCTTCTGACTCGCGGTTGAGGTCCGGCGCGGAACACTGCCATCCTGCACTTGCGGTTGAGGTCCCGAGGAGGAGGAGGAGGAGGAGGAGGAGGACGAGAACGACGGCAGCTGACATACAATCTAACAAACCTCACCTGACAGGTGGGGAACACATCAAGGCTTCAGGCGCTTCCTTGAAGAACACCCATCGCAAACCCACCAGTCGCCCTGCTTGTCCTTGGGGTGCCGGTTTCACCTCACCGAAATGAACATATACACGTTCCGTTTCAATGGAAGTGGAGTCAATGGCCTCTTGGAAGGACCGTTTTTCTCTACAGACCGGTGGTATTCCACTTCTGTTGCAAGGGAGGATAACAAAACAGAAACTATTCTAGAAGCTCATAGGGGTCCTGAACACTTGGTCTTCGTGCTTGCTCTTTCGGCACACGGGGTCCGGCGCGGGACTGGGCAGGCTAGAGCTGTGGAGTCCCTATACATCCAGCCTCCGCAACTGACATGGCGTGGCTAACGGCTAACGCCACGGAGGAAGGGAGTGCAGCACCAAAACAAGGGGGCCCAGTGGTTCTCCAGCTAGTCACTTCATGAAAAAACGGTCGACTGTGATCACAAAGCTCAGTGAATCGAAGACTCGGAGTGTAGAAATAAGAAAAAAACAAAAAGGATCTACCTAGATCTTCAAAGTACAAAAAAAATTGGTCGATGTGGTTATTGGTCGCATTTTTGTTCCTGGTCAGTTCTTCTACAAAAGCCGTTGTTTTACGTCTATGTTTCATGCCATCATGCCATGTCACGCTTTTTCTGTCACGGTGTCGCATAACCGGGTCGAGTACGGGGGTGAGTCACGTGTTGGCTCCTTTTTGCGCACGATACCGGAGTGGGCCGAAAAGCCTCGCTTGAGCGGCGTCGCACCATCGCACGGGGAGTTCCAGGTGTTCGGCGGTGGTCTCCGGTGCAGCATGCGGCATGAAGGTATGAAAACAAGGCTGAAGGCTATAGCACACGATTTCACCCGTGTGGAATCAAATTCATTTACTAATTTTATACAGTCATGTTCCCAAGACCATGCATATGGAAGTTCCATGGTGCTTCGTTTCCCAAGACCAGGAACTCGATTTCTTCCCGGGAACAACTCATCCGTGCACTGCAGCGTTCAAGAACTCCTATCACGTCGGACGTATATACGTCGGCGATCAAGCCGATGGTGTGAGTGTGGTGTCAGTAGCTGTCAACACCCAATTCATCCCCAATGAGTTAACCCTCCCTACTCTCTTCCCTGAATCAAGCCACGTATGTCTACTTCGGAGGTCCTCTCTGAAGTCACCACATACCTCCACAGCCCTCCCGCTTGTGAAAAAAGCCGCAGCGCGGATCCACCATCATGAACCCAGTCGAAATGGATGCTCCGGGGATCTCCTATTCTTCACTCCATATCCCTATATTAACTGCTGACGTACAATGTATAGCAAAAATGTGCCAACTATATCGACCGGTCTTAGGGTTTAGTCGTTGGTCGAACAAAAAACGCCGAGGAGACAACAAATGAATCAACACGTTAAGATGTAAACCATAATGAGCCGAATGAACGTTAAAGTACATGAACAGCTTCAACATGCCAGCAGTCACAAAGGGGTGCCGAACCTGTATTTTGGATTATTTTGGATGATATGGGTGACTGTTTGATGTGGTTAAAGAAGGCTAAACCACCAGGAGTCACATGGAGTTGGGTGGTTTTTAGTCCCATCCAGTGAGTGGAGTAGCTGGGCACCCCGACTTCCTCTGTCTACAGCCACCCATGGCCGCCCCTCCAGCTCCAGTAGCCCGGCCGACACCGGGCACGCGGCGTCTTTTCGCTTTTCGCTCCGTCAAACGGCCGCGCTCAGCATCTCGAGAGCCTCCGCGTGGTCCGATCCGCCGACCAACCGAGTCAAAGTGCGCACCGTTTTGGGAAACATGGGGAACCTTTGGTCCAGACTACGTGTTCAAGACATACTAGGTCGCGATAGGTCGACCAAAACTTGATTGAAGGGTTTGCATGGTTTTGAGTGGTTGTGTTTGAAATAGGGAGACTCCTTGGCTTTGAATTCGAGTGTTCTGTCTGCAACTAATGAATGATAAGGCCCTTGCTTGGGCACCGCGTGTCAGCTCCGTGCTTCACAGAAGCAGCCATCAGGAGCTACCAAACCCAGCAGGGGCTGCCCTGAAGTGTTCATTTTACCTTCCCTGGCGGCGCCTGGCGGTGCATCAGTCCGTGAGCCGCAGTGGAACTGTGGAACTCATGTGGGTTGAGTATCTCCCATTATTGTGTAACGGTGGATGATGGGGCCGACGGTTGCAGGCCTTTCCATCTTTACAGGTACAATCATAGGACACCACCAACATATATGAGTCTTTTTGAGAAAACAGGGATACCTTTTCCCAGGAAGGTTCGGAAAAAAGAACGCACACATCCGCAACCCATTGGGGCGAGACTGGGTGGCCTCCACACACCCTGTTTGGAATTACAATACAACAAACCTTCTTAGAAAACACCAGCAGGTGGGCCCTCCTGGCTCCTACAGTCTCTGTCCTCACCTTTTTCCTCCGGTTCGGTAGGTGGATGCCGATGCCTTAGGGCACCCCTTCTTGGGATCCGGAATTCCGTTGAAACATGTTTCTCAAGTGCCCTCCAGCAGCCCTCCAGCAGCCCTGGCTGCAGCCCTCAGGTCTCACCTCCTTCAAGTCTTTCATCTCCTCATGTGGCAATGACTTGCAGGAGTTCGCGACACATGGATGGTGAGGATTGGACAAAATCCCATCCATATGGTCCATGGGATTGAAATATTGTTGCGTAAAAGTGTTGCCCCATTTGTGACCCGTCCATGCAGGCAACTGTTCCGTACATAGATGGCTTGGGTGTGTCAGTGAGAATGGGGTGTTCCCCAAATCCCTGCAACCCTGGCAGACGGGTCGCACTATTTTACGCACTTCAAAGAAGGGTGCGGTTGTTGCCGGGGGTTCGGTCTCCCGATTGTACACGCCGTAAAAGAAACAACATCTATACCTAGTACAGGTCCCGCCGGTCAACCGATGTCGAAGTGACCTGCGTGGTTTCACCCGAACTGCACGACGCCCCGAACGGAAGGCTCCCCGCGGAAGCCGCGTGGGGCGATCGGCCGCGGGCGGATCCGCTCGTCCTGCTCGCGTTGGGCGATCCGCTCCGCCGCGGACATACCATCCTGCAGCATGGCGCCACAGAGACGGCCCGGGCCCGTCGGCGTGCGACCCTCTTTTTTGAGGCGAAGCGTGGGGTGAAACGGTAGATCTATTATACGCTTTAGCAAGTGTGTGTAGCATTTATCCTTAATTATTATAGGTGAGTTTGACCCATTCTACTGGAGTTGGTCATACAAGAATACCATACTCAATGAGGTACAGGATCAGGTTTGGACCTGGGTTAGACTGCACCTGTACCACACACATGCATGATGCAAAGTCTTCCCTTGATTGGGCATGTTGCAATGCCTGTTTACATGCAACTGGCTTCACGCAAATTCATGCACAAATGTGGTTTTCTAGCAGTTTTGGGTGATGTGCGCCTCTCCTTTTACTGTGAGACGGCGTTTTTTGGAGCAGAGCGCTGTGCTGTCTACTGCCTGGGCAAATGAGCCTGAGCTGAAAACACTAGGCGTGCAAGGCAGCCTGTGTGTCATTGCTGGCAAGAAGCTCTTGCGAACATTCCTGATTGCACTTCATGTTTCCTTTCGTTTGTGCATGCATGGTTGTGCAGGCATGATGGTCACACATGGGCAAATTATGCCACAACAAGCTTGCGATTGTGCCAGCGTTGAGCAAGCTGTGTACCAGTGACTCTCCACCTCCCCAGAACGAAGTTTGCGTGGTTTGATGCCATGGCAAAGGCTAAGATGCTGAGGCTGAAGCGGGCCAAAGCTTTGAAGGAGATCGCAGCGCAGAAAGCTGAGCGCGTGCGAGTTTGAAACTGACCCGGCTTAAACTGAAAAAACAGAGCTGGCTCGGAAAGTGCATGTGCACCTGGACAAGCAAAAGAAAGAAGGCTGAGGCCTTGAAGAAAGCTCAGGCTTTAGAAGATCAAAGGAAGGAACAGGAGGCTTGAAGGCAAAGGAGGCGGCGGATGCTCTACAAGAGCAAAGGTCATTCAGAACACAGAGCCGGATTGCAGAACGGCTCACAACCTCAATGTCCAGATTTGAGTTCAAACCTTCAAGATGCAGTCGTTGTTTGGCTGCAGTTTTGCAGTTTTGGTGTGTGTGTGTGTGCTGGAGGTTCTGCAAGTCTGCTAGTGCCCCACAAACTGATGTCATGAGCAGTCGGCTTCAAAGCTTCGCAAACGGAGTATGCGACAACGGTCATGACACAGTTGTGTCCTGAGCAAATGGCTCCTGCAAGTCGATTTCACAAGGGTGATTTCATCCCTGGCCATGACTCTTATCTGCTGACTAACCCAAACACTCCATGGGACTGCCATACATGCCTACATTGACCCCCCCAAACCACCCCAACTGATCGGCATATATGGCAGTCCCATAAAGCGTCTGGGTAAGAGAATGTTCTGCAGATTTTTCTCAGAAAGCTCCTGATGACATCCTGGTTTGGTCTTCTTCGGTGGACGCCGCGGAGCATTGATGTCGATCTACTTTCAGCAAGCACTGACATGTGGGTGTTGGACATGGGTGTAGAGGCATCTGCTTGGGGATGACAGCATTTTGTGCACAACAAATGTGTTGCCAACCAATGCTTTGAGCAAGGTGATGTTGACATGTAGCTGAGGAAGGGTGCAGAAAAGGTTCCCAGGTTGCACATGCAGCAAGAGATCCAGCTGCCTCAAAGCCTTTGGACAGCTTCATGCATTCCATGTTACAATGGATCTTGCTAGTGACAACAATACAGTGCCTGAGGATGTTCAGCCAGGATCAGCTAGATCGCAAGGCGGATTGGATCTTGTCGGCCAATCGCTTCTAGATTGCATGTTTCACCCTTTTTGTCACAGGCTTGTATATATATACATACACATGCAGTAGACATACAGTATATAAGTATTATATCAGAGGGGCTTGCAAAAATGACTCTCACTTTTTTTT